GGGGCCGGCCGCGGCGCTCCGTCCCTATCATAGAGACCTGCTGGTGACCGTGCTTACACGGGCCGGCCGCGGCGCTCCGTCCCTATCATAGAGACCTGCTGGGTGAACGTGCTGGCAGGGGGCCGGCCGCGGCGCTCCGTCCCTATCATAGACACCTGCTGGGTGAACGTGCTTACACCGGGCCGGCCGCGGCGCTCCGTCCCTATCATAGAGACCTGCTGGGTGAACGTGCTGGCAGGGGGCCGGCCGCGTTCGGTTCGGATACGGCCCTTACCTCAAGACGGGACACTCTGCTTGGGTGCCGTGTTCTTCAGATAATGAAGTCTTTGAAGGATGGGAACGTGCTGGGTTTAGCGCTAACCCTCCAACATTTTAATTTTTTTGATGACCAAACAATGGTGTAGAAACATTTAGGTAGCCGCTGGCTTCTCAAAGTCATTAGAATTCTGCATCTCTTTTGTAGATTCTTTCTTGAGCAGTGGAACCGTTTGAGGGTTGCCCCACCGTTGTTCGTCAGCAAGCGCAGGATTAGCCCCAGAGAGGCTCCCCGCTGTCAGGGCGTGCGTTTCCTCCCTCTGCTTCATCACAGGCCTTCTGGGGCCCGTCCGTGGGACTGCTGCAGATGACGCTGTCGTGTCCAGCTCTGCAGAGGCAGGGTTAGCCGTTGGTTGTCTGCTGATCTTGTCCAGACGGATGGAGGGTTTTCAGGACCACCTTTTTTGAGTCCGGCTTCACCCTGCTACAGATGTGGCCTGTTAATGGAATCTCTCACAAGGGAATTGACGCTCCTACCATGAATCCAGTCTTAGGGTGCTGGGTCTGGGCTCCGCTCTGCTTGCCTAATCACGGTCCCTTGTTGGTTTACGTTGCCGAGGGGAACAGCGTAAAGCCTAGAATTAAAGGAAGGCGTTAAAAGTGTGCTTACTTCCCAGATTTATCCCTGACAAGCTGGTGATCTTTGGCCTTGAGTTTCCGAGCACAGTGTGTGGTGCATAGGTGACAGCATTAAATGCAAGATGCGTGAATAAGAGTTGGAATCTACTGCTTTTTTCTGTAGTTTGGTGATATGTCAGTGAGCTGTTGAACACAGCCAGACTGCCAATGAATAAGAGACTTCATGGGAGTAGAATGATAGGGCCAAGCCAGGAGAGGTGGCGCACGCCTGTCATCCCAGCACTGGGGAGGCTGAGGCAGGAGGATCGTTGCAAGTTTGAGACCAGTCTGGGCTACAAAGTGAGCTCAAGGCCAGCCTGAACTGCACAGGGAGACCCTGTCTCAGAAAGACAAAAAAACAAAAACAAAAACAAAAAAGCATAGTGCCAGAGGGGAATGTAAAAACACTTCTTTGGAGATGAGGAAATGTGTTGAGCCTTATGGGTTTCAGAGTGCTTATATATTTTGTAGGCAACTTTCATAGATTTACATAGATAACTATCATTTTTGCATTTAAGGATAGTTCATCCCCATCCCCATAGTCACATGAGCAAACCTCACTTGTAGTGTGGCTTGGGTGCCCAAGGTTGGGGCTCGTTCTGCAAACACGAGGCAGAGCTGAGTCTAGCCTTTTGCCAGGGTGACTGGGATTTGTTTTGTTTTTGTTTTTTTTTTTGGTTTTTCTCCGGTACCGGGAACCGAACTCACGACCTTGCGCTTGCCAGGCAGGCGCTTTGCCGCTGAGCTAAATCCCCAGCCCCGGGTGACTGGGATTTGGTGGGGCTCACGTGCGATGCCGCCCTAGACCCCCCTGAGGAAGTTGCCTGGCTGCCTTGGGCCCCTGGCGCTTTAGCTTTAGCTTTAGGGTTTTTCTTTCCGGTGCTGGAACTCAAAATAGCAGCTCTTATTTCAGCAAAACTTTAAAATGGGGTGAATGTTTGGATGATGTTTTTCTCCTTTTTCTCTGCTGACGTTATTCTAGGAATGCTTTAATTCTCCGTATGGCACAAAATACTTTCCTGAATACGCGGAGAAAATTCCTGGTGAATCCACACAGAAGCTTTCTGAAGTAGCGAAAGAGTGCAGCGTATATCTCATTGGAGGTAACTTCCCCCCGAGTGGTATGGAGTTCTTGACCTTAAAAACGTGTGAATTATGTGTGTTACATTTAAACTGTGGAGCACAGCTCAGCCCTTGAAGTGAGAACGTGTGTTTATATCTAGGACTGTGGGAAAAGCTTGAGACCCTCTTGTTAAATGGGAAAACAAGTTCAATGTGATTACGAGCAGAGCAGATTAGTGCAGATTAGTCCCACACACAAACCATGGCTGTGACTTATGTGCAGTTGTGTATGGAAAGGCATATTAAGTGTTACACACTGACACCAAATGACGCCAGTATTTTTTTCTGGAGAAGAAGTAGAAGTACAGGGTTGCGTAGAAATGGGGAAAGAAATCGTATGTGTCATTTATTACATAATACAGGATTGAAAAAAATTTTTCATAGCAACCACATACATAAAGATAGCTTTATTATTGTTTTTGAAATACATTTAAAAATATTCTACTTGCTAAAATGTTTTAGTATATGTGCTACCGAAACGAGCATGTCTATTTGCTAAAATAAAAGAAGCATACTAGTGTATGGAGGGCGTTGCGCACCTGTAATCTCAGCATTTGGGAGGCTGAGACGGGAGGATTTCTGTGAGTTTGAGGGCACTCTGAACTACATCGTGAGTTCAAGGCCAGCCTAAGCCACATAGCAAGACCCTGTCTCAAAAAGAAAAGAAGAAGCCGGCGTGGTGGCACATGCCTATAATCCTAGCACTCGGGAGGCTGAGGCACGAGGATCGTTGGTAGTTCGAGACCAGCCTGGGCTACAAAGTGAGCTCAAGGCCAGTCTGAACTCCATAGGGAGACCCTGTCTCAAAAAGACAAAAAAAAAACAAAAAAGACTAAAACTGTTTAGTAGATACAGCAAACAGAATTAATCTTTGCATTATGACACATTAAGGTTTGGAGACGAATAAGAACTAACAAAGCCAGAAGCATAGAGCTGGAACTGCATTCAGTGATGCAGAGCTTGTGACTTAAGACTCATCCTGAGGCCTTTTGGAATACAGTCTTGTTGCAGGGCCTGGCAAATTTAACTTCAGAATAAGAAACTATTTATTTTTCCCTAATGTTACTTATTAAGTGTTGCTTAAGATGCTGTCTGAATTTCAGGAACACTTGGTTATTTTTTAAGCTGTCTTTGGCATCTGACCAGCTTGGAGTTTATCTGACTACTTTGGCGTTTATCTTTGAAAGATCATGTTCAAGCACAAGTGCTAAAGTAAAACTTGAAAGAATAAACTTCATTAGACCCAGTGGACAACTTGCCAGTCCTTCGTTCGGTTATCATGGAATAATTGCTTCCTTCTCTTCTGTTAAGACTGTTTTATGTGCTTGTTTCTTGTTGCCATGGAAGGCTCCATCCCCGAGGAGGATGCGGGAAAGCTGTATAACACCTGTCCTGTGTTTGGGCCCGATGGAACTTTACTGGTAAAACACAGAAAAGTGAGTGGGGAATGTGTCAGTTCGTTTCGTCTTAAGAATTTGCTTTGCCGCCCCCGCCCCCTTTTGCCTACTGTGCACGCGCGTGTGTTTGCTTGGCGCAGTGGCTGTCCTTGGCTGCCTGTCGTGCATGTTTGTGTGACACAGATGACTCGGCCTGTCACTTTCTGCAAAAGAGCGTGCGTGCTTCCCGTGAGGAACTGGACATTGATTTGCACGCTCTATTGAAAACATATTATAAAACCTACCACACTTTTCCCAGCCTCCTTTGGCCAGCTTGCGGGTGGATTATGGACAGGTTGGGTATAATGTTGGTACAGCTGATTGTAGGGCATTTCTGTATCTACACGTGGGAAGTCTGCCATTGCTGCTTGGAGAAAAGCTAATGACCAAATAAATGATTTGTGATGCAGATCCATCTGTTTGACATTGACGTTCCTGGGAAAATTACATTTCAAGAATCTGAAACGTTGAGTCCTGGTGACAGTTTCTCCGCCTTTGACACCCGTACGTACCGGACAAGCTTGCCTGTCTTAGGAATCCCAGTGAAGAGGAGCAGCTATTCCTTCCTTCTTCTTTCATGTCTCTCCACCTTTGTCACGTAACCTGCTTGAAAGACCAGAAACGAGGAAGGTGGGGACGTGGACAGTCAGGTGCAAGTGGAGAGTTCAGGGTTTAACGTACTTCCCTCTTCCGCTCGGTCAGAGCCTCTCAGCTTCCAGAGTCTCCCTGTGCTCATGCCTGAGCCTTGCGCCTAGACAAGGGGTGTCAGCTGAGATGAACGTCTCGTCTCTGGTCTGATGCTGTAGATGATGTCCGTGTCAGATGACGAGCCAGTGGGGTTGGACTTGGAGCTTGTCTCCATCCCGGGGTCTGCGTTCCTTTGTACCTGTGGGTGCTCTGTGGTCACTGCCTCGTGGAAGGCTGATGCTGCCACACTGTATAGCTTTTCACTGTGCGTTTCTGTTTGGAAACAGCTTACTGCAGAGTGGGCCTGGGCATCTGCTACGACCTGCGCTTCGCCGAGCTTGCACAGGTCTACGCGCAGAGAGGTGAGCGGCGCGGCGCGGCGTTACCTGGCTGTTTGCGGGTTCGGCTCTGGGCTGGTTTCTGTGGGGACAGAGGCGGTCCGCTCAGATTCTGCACAGATGCACGGGAGGGTTGGGGTGGAGTCTCAGTCGCTGCATGAGCGGCTCCTCTGCCCCCGTCGGGCTGCTGGGACTTGGGCTGGTGCCGGTGGTGCGGGGTCGGGAGGCCTCTGATGGAGCTCGCGCTGCACTGCGCAGGCAGGGGCCGTGCCCAGGCTCCCTGCGGCCCGCCCGTCCCTGCGTTCCGAGTCCCTCGCAGCCTAGCGGGAAGGGGCTGTGACCTGCCCCCTGCGGATTTCGGCTCAGTATCGCTCTGTGGGACTTCGGCTCAGAAAAGGGAAGCAGGCGAGTGTCTGGAAGGCACCTGAGCCCCGTCGGGTCTGGTTTCTGGTTCTAACTCTCCCCGCAGCTGACGGTACTTCGGGAAAATCATTTCACCTTGCAGCAGTGTCGTCGTTAGCTTCCTTAGGGAAATGGTGTAAAGATTAATGAAGGAAAACCTACGCAGCCTCTCGCGCGGCACCCAGCAAATATGAGCGCCCTTACGGGGCTGCGGAGGCCATGTCCGACGGGACTGCCTGCCCCGCAGAGGTGGAGTGCCCGAGCGCTGGGCGGAGCGGTCTGTGGAGCCAGGACAGCCGCAGCTGCTCGGCCCCTACGTGCAGTTCAGAGCAGCTCGAGCCGTGCGGCTGTGCAGCAGGCCTTCGTCGCCGGGTCTGAGTGAGGGCGGAGGTGCAGGCGCTGGGTTCAGGCTTCGGCCCGCTTTTCCTTCAGCTGTGGCTTTTACCGTGTGTCTCACAGAACTCGGAGCCACGTCTTAGTGCTGACGACTATGATGAAGCTGGTGCCGTTTGGGGCTGAAGAAGCTTGAATTCTGGCCCTGCCGGTAAGGGTCACGGGGAGGCCCGGCGGCGCTCAGTGCTCATCTGCACCCCGTCTGCTTGTCCCTCAGGGTGCCAGCTCTTGGTGTACCCTGGAGCGTTCAATCTGACCACCGGGCCGGCGCACTGGGAGTTGCTGCAGCGAGGCCGGTAAGAGGGGTCAGGCTGCTCGGCTTCGCCCGTGTGCTGGAAGAGCAGCTTCCCTGGAGGGAGCCGTTCATGCCTAGGGAGCCCTGGCATTTCGGTGTAACTGGAACAGGCCCATCTGCAGGACCTCTTCAGAGACAAAGCGCCAGCCTCCTATCATGCAGGTTGGGGGCTGTGTGCTCTGCATTTTTAGATGCATTCAGTGTGGCATTTTGGCAGCGGTACCATCTTTCTATGAGTAGCTGTGGATTGGTCTCTCCTGAGACAGCCGCCAGCAGCTTCCACAGAGAAGTTGAGATCGCAGAGCTGAGGTGTTTAGAGCCCCGGGTGCCGAGGAAAAGGTGGCCGTTGTTTGAGCTTGACGGCTCCAGGGAGAGACGCGCGGTCTCCGTGCAGCTGGCTCTGCCACTCAGATGGGGGAGCTTATCCTGCCCCGCCTGCCGCACATCCTGCTAGTCCCGAGCATTCCCCACCAGGAAATTCCTCCTACGTAGATCTCTTCCTGACCAGTCCTTTGTAAATCCAGAGCCTTGCACAGGTATCCCTGGTTTATCACAGTTGCTTTTTCCTTCGTTCTCCAGGGCGGAGGGGTGGTGAAGGGTGCATAGCAGAGGCAGGAGATAAAGAGTGCTGTGTGTGCGTGGTGCTCTTCAAACCGTGAAACGCTGCCACAGTGAATTTTTGCTATGTATATTCGCTTCTCACCAAGATCAACATGGAGAATGTTTCCAGCCGCCTCAGGTGCTCTTTTCCACCCCGTCCCAGTCAGTACTGTGCTTGCTTTTTTTTTTCTTTTCTCATTGGTTATACAGATGAAGAGGGTTGATTTTGGCAGATTCATACAGGCACATAATGTACACTGGTCATTTCCACCGCCCTCCCCCATGTCTCACATTTTTGGATGGTTTTTCAGTGTAGTACTGTGCTTTCTTTGCCCAGAGGTGGTCACTCTTCTTCTAAAGATGGTGGTAACTTTAACGGGAAAGAAAGAGGCTTTGCTGATTGCGGGGTGGACGATGGCATTGGGAAGTACGATGCCGTGACTGTTACTGAGTATGCAGTCCTAGTAAAAGCTTGGGAGATGCAAGGATGGCCTGCAAAGAGTCTGTCCACCAAGTCCGGAGCACTCCCGGGGAGATGGGTGGGCGCCGGGGCTGCCACCCGAGTTCTCGTCTGGTCTGAGCTGGTGGGACTGCTGCCCGGGCACGGAGGGCCGCGCGGCTCCGAGGTGCGCTGTCCCAGCAAGGGCGCTGCTCTCCAGCCTTCTTGACTTGTCTAACCGGAGAAGCGCTGCTCCTGTCATGCAGGTTGGCTTATGCTCTGGCTCCCAGTAGCACTGCTAAAATACGAGGGTAGTGCTGCTGTGTGGGGCTGTCTTTAGCAATGTGGTCTGTTCGGCACACCCCTGGCCTCTGCCTGCTTGTGCCAGCAGCAGCTCTCCAGCTGTGACAGTCAGAAAGTCCCCAGGCATCTTAGTGGACGAAGTCACTTTTAGTTGAGAATCAGTGGGTTATGCAACAAGACTTTGTCTGTAAAGACAGGGTCTTGCTGTCTGCTCAGGCTGCTCTTTGAACTCCAGCACTCAAGTGATCCTCCTGCCCCAGCCTCCCAGTAGCTGGGCTCACAGGCATGCATCACCATGCACTATTTTTTAAAGCAGTTTCCTGGCTTTAGCTTCCACATCTGAATCAGTGTTTTCCAGAGAAAAATTGTATATGTAGGGAATAAGTACTTTCTTTGTGTTATTTTCTCCTAAGCAATACAATATAACAACTATTCAGACAGCACTTACGTTATATTATTTTAAATAGTCTAGAAATGATTTAAAGTATGAAGGAGAATGTGCATAAGTTATATGCAAGTACTATACCATTAAAATTTTTAAAAATTTATTTAAAAATTTATAAAGCCAAAAATTGTACATATTTATTTAATATATACTTTAAAATACGGAAAAATTAAAAGTATGCATACTAGTGGGATACCGTGCAGTGCCATGATACAAGTACACACCCAGCAGTATTCAGCTCAGGTTAATGTTTTAACTCCTCTAACCAGGCATGGTGGCCTGTGGCCTAGTCAGCACGGGCGGTCAAAGCAGGGTTACTCGGGCCCAGGATTATGAGATCAATTTGGGCAACGAAGTGAGGCTTTGTGTCAAAACAAAGACAAAAAAACCTATCTCCTCAAAATTTATCATTTCTTCATGGTGCTGCTTTTAAAATCCTCCCCTCTAGCTTTCCGAAACATACAAAACGTTACAGTTGCCCACAGTCACCGTGTGACGGCACACCAGAGCTACTGTGTGCCCCTGTCTTGCTTCCCCCTGCTTAAACTGTCCCATCTTCCGCTCTCCCCCACCCCCGCCCGAACGGACATTCTGTTCTGGAGTTCCGAGATGGACTCTGTCAGACTGAACATACAGTGAGACCGGGCGCACTTGGCCTTCTCCATCCGACTTCGTTCATTTCACAGTGATGTCTGGTTCCGTCTGCACTGCTGCCCTGACAGGACTGCAGTGTGTGTCACGGCTGAACAGCAGCTCTTTGCGTGTGTGTGCACGTCCTCCTTCCCCGTTCGTGACACTTAGGCAGTTCATGTGAGCATGGGAGCACGCGTCTCTTCAGTGTACGGCTTTCCTCTCCTTTCTTGCTTTTTTTTTTTTTTTTTTTGTCTTTTTTGAGACAGGGTCTCACTATGCAGTTCAGGCTGTCCTTGAGCTCCCTTTGTAGCCCAGGCTGGTGTCGAATTCACAGTGATCCTCCTGCCTCAGCCTGCCGAGTGCTGGGATTACCGGCGTGCGCCACCAGGCCCGGCTTCATTTCCTTTTGGTATATACCCAGGAGTAGAATTATTGGCTCATTCCCGCTTCTCCACATCCTCAGCAGCACTTACCTTTTTTCTTTTTCATAGTAGCTGCTTTTACTGAGGTGAGGTGATACCTCATGTTTGTGTCCGTCATTTTCATTTCCCACGTGATTAGCGACGCTGGACTTTTTAACGTTAGCCGCTTATGTTAGTATGACAGCCTTCTGTCAGTGTGGCGGAATACTTGCATGAGCAACTTACGAGGGAGGGCTTATTTTGGCATATAGTTTCAAGCGTGGTTGCCTGGCCTTGTTGCTCTGGTCCTGTGTTGTCTCAGTTCGTCGTTCCTTGAGTTGGCATAAGAAGAGCCTGCTCACCTCGTGGTGGCTCAAGAGCAGAGACAGAAGGGGGACCGCGTCCCAACATCTTTGAGGGCACACCGTCGCTGACGAACTCCTCCCGCTAGGCCCCGCTTCTTAGTTTCCCCCGCCCCGTCGTACCACGGCCCGCAATGCCTTCAGCCCACTGGCAGTTGCAGGGGACATTCAGGACCCAAACTGTAGCATTATCCGTGTGTCTTCTTTGAGAAATGTCTGTCTGGGTCTGTTGCCTTGTAGTTTTCTTTTGCTGGTGGTAGGCACTGAATCGAGGGCTTGTGCGTGCCAGGCGCGTGCTCTGTCGGGTGTTGCATCCCCAGCCCCTGTTGCCCATTTTTTTACTTTTGAGTTTTTAGAGTCAACTACATATTGTAGTTATTAACTCCTCATCAGATAGTGTACACAGTTTGCAAATGTATTCTCCCACTCTGTAGGGTGTTTTTCACTCTGTTGATTACAGTATGTCCTTTGCTGTGCAGGAGCTTTTTAGTTTGTTATAATCTCATTTGCCTATTTGTTGCTTTTATTTCCTTGTGCTTTTGAAGTCTTGCCCAGAAGACTGTTGCCCACTCCAGTGTCCTGAAATCTTTACCTGTGCTGCTTCTACTACTACTTCGGTTCTGTTGTTTTTTAAAGGCTCTGTACATGACAGAAACCACTGCATACATTTAATACATGGTTACTTCCTTTCTGTCCCTTGTCTGCAGTGCTGTGGATAACCAGGTGTACGTGGCCACGGCCTCTCCTGCCCGCGATGACAAAGCCGCGTATGTGGCTTGGGGACACAGCAGCGTCGTGGACCCCTGGTGAGTGTGTCTGAGCGCGGTGGGCCCCGCGGAGCTTGGGAGTGGCACCCGGCAGCCCTTCCCCAGCAGCCTGGCAGGCGTTAGGAAAAGCCTCTACGTGAAAGCCACGCGGGGAGACATTTCCCTGTGTACCCGAGTGAGGGCTCAGCACTGCTCGTCCAGGTGACCTTCGTCATCAGTCGTAGCTGGGTCTGTCAGGGTAACCAAGGCGGCGGGGAGGGGTGGGCGGCTTTAGGAGGAGAAGCTCCTGAACTCTTGGCTTTTACTTAAAATTTAGCCTCTTTCCAGGGCAGGCGAAAGTTACAGGGTGAGGACTTTGCTCCCAGCACAATGAGAGGAAGGGAGGGGGGGTTCAGGGAGGGAAACTGGTTGTGTCCCTCGGGTGCGGCTTGTCATTACTCAGCGGAGGCAGACGAAGCTCTGTCCGGAGGTGCGTGCGGGCACACGTTAACGCGCACCTTTCGGTCCGCGCCTGTGATTTATTGCACTTTCACATAGTATCTCTCTGTTTTTGTTTTTTTTTTTTCGGTTTTCTTCCGGTACCGGGAATCGAACGCACGACCTTGCCCTTGCCAGGCAGGCGCTGTGCCGCTGAGCTAAGTCCCCAGCCCCTCACACAGTGTCTCAACTTGAGGGCCTTCGCCCTGCTCAGCTCAGTTTGTAGATGACAGAACGGGAGTTCACAGCGTTACAGTGGCTGGGGCCTGTGTTTGGGTCCGTGACTTTGGACTTCAGAACGTTCATTAGTCTCTGCTGCTCTGTTTATGAATGAATATAGGTATTTCTGCAGTTTCAGGGTAAGGAGACTAGTAACAAGATGACAGCGGTTAAGCGACACTGTGGGGTCCCCAAAGGGTCACCCTTCTGACGCGCAGCCCTCAGGGCTCCGTGTGCGTGGGGTGCCTGGGAGACGAGACTGGTGAGACGCTCGTGGTCCTTCTACCTGTCCGGTTGGGAGGGCGAAGCCAGCTAGGACATTCTTGTGCGCTTGCTTCCGATTCTTCAGGTCGCGTAGCAGCCTGCGCAGGTAGGAAGAGCAACCTGAGAAGCCCTCGGAGGGGGCCTGACTGAAGTACACTCGAGAGGAAATAGGGTGGCTGTAGGCTATGTCCGTTAATAAGCTACAGGCTGTAGCCCCAGCCGTTCATAAGCATGGAATAGCTACCATTTGCTAGCAGTTTTCAGTTTATAAAACATACTCCATAGTTATCTCAGCCACATAGAGCTCCTTTCCACATGATCGTCGCCATGGAGATTCACGGTGACTTGCCACAGACCGACGCAGCTACTTAAACAACAGAACGGGAACTTACTTGCCTACCTTCTTGGTTTTTTTTCCTCTTTTTGTTTTATGGTTCTTGGATTGAACCCAGGACCTCACAGATGCTAGGCAAGCACTGAGCTGCATGCCACAGTCCCTTTTATTTATTTTGAGACAAGGTCATGCAGTGTTGCCTAAGATAGCCTTGCACTTGTAATCCTTCTGCCTCAGCCTCCTGCGTCCTGAGGATTATAGGAGGGTACCACCGTGCCTTGCTACGTCTTTGTTTCAGATCTCAGAATCATTTTGTTCTGGTTTATGAGATGGGGGGATGAAGAGATCTTGAGCATCACCGGGTATCAGTAAATCTACTCATTCTCCTCTGAACCTATTTCAGGGGCGAAGTCATAGCCAGAGCAGGCACGGAGGAAATGGTCCTGTACTCAGACATAGGTAAGACTTGCCCGGCGCGGTTCAGGTCTCGGCGTCCGCGCTGCCTGAGGCGGCTCCGTAACTGTGCCGCTGTGATCACCGGAAGGGCCCTTCATGCCGCTGCTCATTTCCCTTGAGGGTGTCCGAGGCGCAGCTCGGTGCCGTTCCTGGCTTGGTTGAAGTGGCTCAGGACCAGGCCGGGTCATTGGTGTGTTTAGATGAGGTATTGCTGAGTCACTCGCTGAAATTCTGCTGGTTTTCACAGTTTTGAGGAGCAGTTTCCTGGGCTAGTAAGAAGTTGCACATTATTCACCATCCACTTTTCTGTGTTTGCAGATCTGAAGAAACTGGCTGAGATCCGTCAGCAAATCCCAATTTTAAGACAGAAGCGATCAGACCTCTATGCCGTGGAGCCAAAAAAGCCCTAAGGAGTATGCTTCGCACATGTCACGAGGCAGGAAGATGCGGAGCATAGTGAACCCCCTATTGACTGCTTTCTCTTGGCGGGAGGGTGTGTGAACCCAGGGCTCACACCCTGCTCAGCACATGCTCTAGGAGTTGTACCCCGAGTCCCTATTGAATATATACTTTTTTCTTCAAATATTAACTTTTTATTTTGAGACAGGCCTGACTGTGTAGTCCAGACTGGCCTTGAACTCACAGCAGGTCTTCCTGCCTCAGCCTCCTGACTGCTAAATTGTAGCCTTTTCCTGCACAGAGAGCTCTCAGGGGCCTCAGAGCTGTCACTGTCCACAGCATGTTAAGTGGGAAGGACGCAGGCACGCGTCAGCCGCAGAGGGCTGGCTCGCAGTGTCCGCCGCGCTTCAGTCTCCTCAGAGCAGTTGGCGGACGCAGGTGTTGGTGCCGCGGCCATTGACTGACCAGTACAGATGTTTGTGTAATGAGTCTCCTAGCCCACTCGCTGGAGTTGGAACCCTTTGTCTGGGTAACTTGGTCTGGTGCTAGTCTTCCAAGAAGTGCCTTGAACTCAGTTACTTTGGTCTCGAGCTGCGGGAAGCATGGTGATAGATCCTTTTCTTCCCCCCCCCGAGGAAGTGGCAGCCTCTCCCCTTCTAGCACCCTTAGGCTCTTCACACTCAAGAAGGAGCCAGTGCTTCAAACCCAGGCCTTCCTGGCCTTGAAAGACGGCGTTAGCATTGAGCTCCCAGGGGACGGCAGCGGCAGCGCTGGTGACGTTAGCTCAGCGTGAATTAGTGACACATTTTCCTAGTAGGGTTGTGTCTAAACGTCTCACGTCTTCCTGCTTTTCTTTTTGCCTTTTAACACTTTCTCACCCTATAAAGAACTGCTGAGCCTAAGGGTTCTGACTTTTTGGTCTTTTCAAAATGTATTGCACAAATAAAAATTAAGGACCTGAATGTGTTTTTGCTTATGTATGTCACAGCTACTGGTGAGCAAGCAATCATTTAGTAGCCAGCTGAGAAAAAAAAATCCTGACTATTGTAGTAATATTTGCCAATCTTCACTGTTGAAGGCGTTAACGTGACGCCTTTCACAGCGTTGGGAATGGCTGTGTGGTCAGCTCTGGTGACCGTGTGCTGGGTAATGTAGCAGACCACTGGTTAAGTGGAACATATACCACGCTGAAAAAATTTTTAAAAAAGATACATGTGTGTACATTCTGTTAACACGGCATAGAATGAAGACTTCATATGTCATTTAACCCCTGGAAAATAGTGTTTATCCTCAGAACAAGAATGAAAAAACAACATAAGGGATGCTGCGCGCACGCACACACACACACACACACACACACACACACACACACACACACACGGAACTGGCAGAACAGCAGACCTCAAGATCAGTGCAACAGATTAAAAGATGCAGACACAACCACAAACACACTCAGCCACTTTATCTTTGACAAAGGGGCCAAACATGCTCACTGGAAGAGAGAGAAGGTCTTTAATAAGTGGTGCTGGAAAAACTGGTTTTCCAGGTAAGTTTGGGGATTGAATGTAGGACTTTACATGTGCTACTTAAAAACAACATTAAGCTACATTCTTTGCCCTTTTTTGTATTTAAAAATAGCCCAAACCAAGGCTACTGAGACTTACTTTCTTTCAGGAGTTTGTAGTTTTAGCTCTTCCATTTAGGTTTCTGATCCATTGTACTTAACTTTTTGCATAACTGTGTATAAAGTAAATGCAAGATTATGATTTTATTACTTTGCTTATGGCTATCCAGTCCCAGCACCGTTTGTTGAAAAGGATATCCTATTCTCATTAAATACGCTGACCCTTAACAAAGAGTGAATCGGCCATATGTATCTCAGTCTTGTTTCTGGACTGTATTCTGGTTCACTGTCTACCTGCATAATGCATTGGTCAATATATAACGTACTGTGTTTAGTCGGGCGTGGTGGCGCATGCCTGTAATCCCAGCACTGGGAGGCTGAGACAGGAGGGTCATTGCGAGTTGGAGGCCAGCCTGAACTGCATAGCAAGACCCGGTCTCAAAAAGACAAAAAGAAAAACAACAAAAAACCCCACAACTTACTGTGCTCACTGTAACTTTGTAAGTTCCTCAGAGTCAGACTGTCAGTCTCCAGCTTTCTTAAAAATGGTTTTGAGTGAGGCCTTTGTATTTCCATGCGAATTTCAAAATCAGATTATAAATTTCTGTAAGAACACATACAGTACCGGTTCCTTGGAGCTTTGGGATTGTATGGAATCTATAGAGCAGTACGGCGGAAAATCGACATCTTACTGGCAGTCAGTGATCCAGGAGTGAGATATTTCTTCAGCTCTTTAGGTCTTCTTTAATTAGCTCAGAAGAGTTTGGTATAAAGATAAGTAAATGTGTCCTGTTCCTCAGAACTGCACGTATTTTTCTTTGCTGTGGTATTTGTAAAGTTAAAATCGCTAGTGTAATTTATATTTGTGAACTTGTATTCTACAACTTTCCTAAACTCATACACTCAAGCAGTTTTTTTTTTTGGTAGATTCCATGTGATTTTGTTTACATAATCATGCCTACAAATAAACATAGTTTTATAAAACAAATAAACTTCCTTTCCAGCCTGGTTTCATCTGTTTTTCCTGACCTTATGGCACTGGCTAGGATCCCCAGTACAGTGCTGAACAGAAGTAATGAGCAAATATATTTGTGTTGGTCCTGCCCTTAGGGGAAGTGTTCTGTGATTTGCTGTTTGGCCTTTCATAGAGGCCGTCTATCAGGTTAGGGACATTTCCTTCTACTGTTAGGTTGTTCAGAATTTTTATAAAGAACAGGTACTAAATTTTTACAGACGAGTTTTCTGCCTTTATTGAGATGATTTTGATATTTCCCGATAAAACAAATGGTAAGTTGAAAACTGTCAAAAAAGCATTTACTGTATCACTGAGTGTCACAGCGTAACACCGCAGTACACTGCAGAACACCCGTGGCTTACCGGCGTGCCACATACCCGACCGGGAGCTCTGGCTCCCAGAATCACAGGAGTACTGCTCCACGTATCACTGCAGGAAGAGACCAGAATTCAGAATTTGAAATGCGGTTTCTACTGGGTGTGTCCTGCGTTTACACCATCAGTGTCAAAGCCAGCAGCTCCGAACGACAGCAGCAGGACGCAACAAAGGAGCTGGGCACGGTGGTGCGCGTCTGTAATCCCCGCTCTCTGGGAGCCTGCGGCAGGAGAACTGCAAGCTTCAGCTCAGCTTGGGCCACTCAGCAACTCAGTGAGACCTAGTCCCAAACAGAAAAAGCGTTAGGATGTAGCTCAGAACAAAAGCCCTGGTTTCAATCCCCGTTCTCTACCCCCCAAATCAACAAACGTTGTATCACATTTAAAAGCTTATCCACAGCAAGGACGCCAGAGCAGATGACCCACAGAATGATGGGAGAATACCTTTGCCAGTTACTCTGACAGGACTGATATCCGGACTATTCAAACAGAAAAGAAAACAAAAAACCAAGTAACTCAGTAAGTGGGCAAACAGGCACTTCTCAAGTACAAGTTGTCAGTAATTAAATGACAGGATGGAAACTACTGGAGGGGACATAATGGGTAGACATGATCTACGAGCAAAGTACGTTATGCGCACATGTGAAAACGCCACAATGAAGCCTTTTACTTTGTACAATCAGTGTGCACTAAATTTTCTTAAAACTCAAGTTGGGGCCCTCTGTATTATAAAGGCTGACTGCAAATCAACCTTCCACTCTTCACTGGACAGTAATATGACAAGGCTGACTGCAAATCAACCTTCCACTCTTCACTGGACAGTAATATGACAAGGTTCTTTAAACAAGGTCCTGCTGCAGAGCCAGGCTTGTTGGTGCAGGCCTGTAATCTCAGCCCTTGGGAGGCTGAGGCAGGTTCACGGTGAGTTCAAGGCCAGCCTGGGCTACATAGTGAATTCAAGACCAGCCTGATTTACAAAATGAGACCCTGACTCAAGAAACAAACAAATATACGCACACATACATTGCTGGATTTGGCTTGCTAACACTGAAAGAAAATTTTTTCGGTATCGGGAATCAAACTCAGGACCTCAGGCTTGCCAGGCAGGCGCTGTGCCACCGAGCTGAATTTCTGGCCCTTGAGAGAGTATTTTTGCATTCATGTTTATGAGGGTTGGTCTGTGCGTTTTCACTGACGACTTTGGATTTACTGGCCTTTTGAAATGACTTGGGATGTCTACTCCAGTGATCTAAAAAACTGCACTGTAACTTGCGTCTTGTCCCTGCTGGTCACTCTGGCTAAAGGTTTACCAGTCTTTCTGCATGAAACCAAGTTCTGGTTCCAGGGATTGTTAATTTCTTTTGTTCTTACAGGTCTCATTTCTTCCACTTTCACACTTAGTTTGGGTTTCATCGGGTGTCCTATTCTCATGTATAAAGTGGACACCAAGGGACTGTGGGTATGGTTCAGTGGCAGGGCACTTAACTAGTCTGCGTGAAGCCCTGGGCTTGGACACTGAGGTCCCTAATTGGAGGCCTTTTCGCATGCTGAACACAGGTGTTTAGTAACGTTAACCTTGTTGGTTATTGCTTCAGCTGTGTACTCACAACTTTTGGTATGTTTTCATTTTCAGTTCAAAATGCTTTATTTATGCTTTCTGTCTTACTTAATCTTTGATCCAAGGGTTACAGTGTTCCGAAATATTTGGAGATTTTCCAAATTTTTCGTAATTCTAATTGACTCCTTTGTGGTCAAATAACAGACCTTGCCTAGTCTTTGTGTTTTGGGAGGTAGGGTCTCGCTGTACAGTTCAGGCTAGTCCTGAATGGTTACCCAAGTCAGATACTGTAATCCTTTAAACTGGTGTAAGACGAAGCTTGAGATAAATAAAAGGTAAGGACACACAGGGCCTGGGGGTGTCAATGCTCCACTCTTGTGACCAGAAGCACTGACAGTTTTGTTTGACTTTCAAGGATGCGTTTTGTATAATGAGCAGCTTCGGAAGACAAGAAACTTTCATTTACCTCTTGCCCTAGGTCAGTGATGATGAACCTTTTAGAGATTAAGTATCAAACTGCAACCCAAAATCCATTTATTTATCACGAAGTGCCAACATTGCAATTAAACCGGAATACTGAGGTTCTAGTTAAAAAAAAAACAAAAACACACATATATTAACATCTTTTGTCTTCAAAGAAAACCTCACTGCTCTGGGTAACCCTTCCTGCAGCTCCCGGGAGACACTTGCAGTCATAGTTAGAAACGAAACAGCTGGAGAAGCCAGGCAGTGGCCTATGCCTGGAATCCCAACTCTTGGGAGGCTGAGGCAGCAGGATTCCAAGTTTGAGCCTAGCCTGGGCAATTTAGTGACTTAGCAAGACCCTGTCTCAGAACTAAAATGGGCCGGAAGTGTAGCTCAATGTGAAGGGCTTGGTTTCAATTCTCAGTACCAAAAGTGCAACACATATAGAATTGAAGAAATCAAGCCAGGTGTCTCCGGCCTCTGAAAGCACTCACGCCGGCCCTTTGCCTACTTCCCGTTTAACTTCCTCTTTGGATGGGATCAGGTACCACAGCTATTCTTGTCCGAACACTCAGCAGAGGACCATCCAAAAGGGTCTAAGAGTTACAGATCAAAAATACCAATTATGATTTGTGTGTTGTCACCTTAAATCACTCATTATTTTCATGCTTAATTGTAAGTTTCAAAACACCTGCATATAGTATCTTGAAAGACACTGATGCCTCTTGTGGGATACTGGCAGAGATACTTTTATTTCACACATGCACGGCAGCCTTTTTGGCCTTATGATTAACCACAATCAGACTTAGTCTGAATCACAAACATCCTGACTCTCGACTAAAACTACTGTGAACTCAATGCCTAAACCTCCTCTGGCCTCAGGGATACTCGAAACACGGCTTTTTGTTTTTGTGCGTGTGTGTGCGCTGCAGATAGGCTCTGGCTTACTAGTCTTGAACTACGCAGCCCATGCCGGCCTCAAACTCACGGCTGCCTCAGCCTCCGAAGTGCTAATTATAGGCAAGTGCCACCACTCCCAGCAAAAATTTCTCTTTTTGAGACAGGGTTTCACTATGCATTTCAGGCTGGCCTTGAACTCACTTTGTAGCTGAGGCTGGCCTCAAACTCACAGCGATCCTCCTGCCTCAGCCTCCTGAGTACTGGGATTACAGGCAGGCACCACCATGCCTGGCCGCAGCAAGCATTTCTTTAGACTATAAACCTCCTTATATAAAATAGCCAAAGGAGTATTAACTTCTGTGTCTCGTGTAAGAAGTAAGTCCACTTTCTGCCACATAAGGCATTCACAGGTTCCAAGGACAGGGAATGTAGTTCTCTTTTGGAGACCGTTATTCATCCAGCAACGGTGTGTCAAAGCTTGCACTCACTGTCATCTGATTAAGTCAGTTTAGCAGAGCTAGGGGTAGAACTGCTTCCCCCCCTTTACCCAGTCACTCCCAGGTCACTTCCTTATACTTCAGTGTGTGTGTGGCTGAAGTGAGCACAGGTTATTTCCTTACAAATATGAGGAGCACAGCCGGGCATGGTGTGCATACCTGTAATTCCAGCACTAGGAGGCTGCCACAGAAGGATCGCTTAAGTTTGGGTCCAGCTCAGGTTATGTTGTGAGTTCAAGACCAGGCTGGACTACATAGTGAGAACTCTGACCCAAAGAACAACAAAAAATACAAAAACCATAAAAACTCATTTGCCAGGCATGGTGGTGCACGCCTGTAATCCAGTACTGGCGAGGCTGAAGCAGGAGGACTGCTGTAAGTTCACCTGCGCTACACAGGGAGACAAAAAACAAGCAAACAAACTTTACTGGCAAAGACTTTTCTGGTTTATTGCCCAAGCTAGGCTTGAATTTGTGAAATTTCTGCCTCAGCCTCCTGAGTTGGGATCACAGGTGTGCACCACTGCACCCAACTTGGGCTTAGTTATTATTTTTATACTACTTCCTGCTTTGGTTAAATTATACGGTCTCCTTGATTATAAATAACAATGATTATAATGTTGACTTCTATAGGTACAAAGTACTATCTAAACTACAGTTTAAGTAAAGTTCAATTTGTTTCTAGAAGGCAGGATGTTTAAATTCTATTTTAAAACCAAAGCTTTGAGCCAGGCAAGCCGGGCATGGTGGTGCATACTTGTAATCCCAGCACTCGGGAGGCTGAGGCAGGAGGATCCTTGCAAGTTTGAGACCAGCCTGGGTACAAAGTGAGCTCAAGGCCAGCCTGAACTGCATAGCGAGACCCTGTCTCAAAAAGACAAAAAACAAAACCAAACCTAAAGCTTCTTACCACTGTATGACAGTATCAAGGATAGTGGAGGTGATTTGAAGTATGCTTTCTGAAAGACTCCAGGTGAATGAGAACTGTGGTCAGACTCAGCAGTGGGACCAGTCAGAGGGAAAACAGCCCCAAGACCCAGGTCTAATGTGCAACCTCCCCGCTGCGGTGCAGGTATGGTGCAGGGACAGGTAAGGAGCAAAGTCAGGTGGCGCTCCGGCTCTCGCAGGAAACTCCGCCATCTACACCAACAAACCTGCACGGGCCTCTGCACAGAGGCCGCAGGAGAACGACCGAATTTACCCAGTACTGCCACAAATGGACACACTACCTATCTCTCTGTTCAAAGAATAGATAGAAAGCTTGAAGGTAATATTTATTTGGTGAATTTACAGGTGAGGTCATTTACAAAAGAAAAGATACAGACAGATGCAGCTTCCAGTGCAGTTTCACATATTTTCACAACAGGCAAAGGTCTGTGAGAATCTGGAATGTCTGTAAAGAATGGCACATGCTTCAGTTTGTTTTCTCTCTACCCAACCCCAAGGGGATAAAAGGACGAAGAGTAGAACACGTCAGTATTCATGTAATTACAGCCATGCAAATAAAAACTTTTCGTAAAAGCCAGCTCAGAGACATAGAACATTTCTGTACTCGAGGATTATTGTAATTTAGAAACAAAATACAGAGCTCTCCCATTCCACCGTCCTCCCATTCCACCGTCCTCCCGTCCCACCGTCCTCCCAGTCCACCGTCGCGGTTACCTTACGTGATGTTGTCTGCCCCCACTAAAATCAGCCAGATCGCTTCTCAGCTTTTTGGCTACAGTCAAGGTCTACTCAATCTTTTCAAAGCCTGATTTTGGAAGGGGAACAATTTCTAATAATTCCTAAAATGAAAGCATCTGTAAACAAAATCTTTTTATTTTTAACAAGATAAATCACCCTTTTGAAGAGGGTAAAATGTTCCTTTATTTTCAACGTGACGTACAATTAGACTTAATTTCTTGGTCAGTGTAACAGAAGGCTTGCTCTTTTATTCAGATTTAAAATAAATCTCTCTCTGTCCTAGGTATCTCAAAATAAGAGATCCTTTATGAAAACAGCCATTTCCTCACCAGAAAAATCCAGCATATGAGCAAAGGGATGGTCTATAAAAGTAGTAACTAGAAATGCTCTGCGAAGTGGTTCCCTAAATCACGAGCAGGACAACCCCCTGAAACAAAAAATCCGCGGCCACTATCTGTGGTGAAGACATGGACACCAGCCATTAGCCCTCAGAGGTCAAGGCTCCATACAAAAAAAGCACTTCACATCTACTTGGCATCTTTAAAAATACTGGCTCAAAATTCTTTAAGCACGGGTAGCCTAAAGCACTAAACGTGTCATTTTCAAAAAAATACTCTGCTCTGGGTATGACATTTACATTCTTTTTGCACCTTTAGCCACCTTTTTCTTCACCAGGAAATTTAAGATAGTTCCACAGTCTCATGTACCATATTTATTCCAGCTCTGCTTAGATGATACACAGAAACAATCCATACTTTCTGAAATGTACATTAAGCACTAGTACTTATTACATGAACTTGCTACGGGTATTATGAACACACTTTGCTTTCATCTTACCTCTTTTTCTGGTTCTCTCCTCATTAAAAGTCTTCCAATATTTATCAACCACAGTATTTTGTTCCTGAATAATTTACTACATGGAAACAAACTGCTATGGACTTCCAGTTTCTAAGGTTTTGCACACTCAGAAGCATTTTCCATGCAACAATGATTTCAAGGGTCTCTCAATTTTACCGTAATCCACATTTAAGCTTTGCATCCTTAAAAGAAAATTAACTAAAAAGGATATCTGAATATAAATCTATTTTACAGCACTTACTGTGTTAATTTAAAAACCAATATAGTGTAAAATACTCATATATTATACACATATGTGAAATCAAAATCATCCAGAATATAACAATCCCACACCCCATTAAATAAAACCAAAAAACCAAAAACAAATCAATAAATCAAAGTTTTTATTTGCATGGCCCATTATCTTTCCAATTCTGCACCTGTGTTTTAACGTCCCTCTCACGGGTCCGGCTTTCGCTGCCCAGGGAACACAAGCCGCGAGGCCGCCAACTTCCCTCGGCAGCCCCGCCCACAACACTCGCACACGGACAGACGCAGACTGACTACACCGTGAAGGGGCGCTCCACGCCAGCGCTCAGCACGTGCGCGAGGGGCTCAGGGTTCCGGAGAAGAGGGAGGGCACTTCCTGTACAGGAGGGCCGGCCAGTCTCCTGTCCTCCCGTTTACAGTGTTGGCGGCTTCAACCCGTATTTCTTTGCAACTTCCGTCTGGGCATGGGCAGCGTCGCACAGGGAGTACAGGTGGGCCATCTCCATCTCCGACTTGGCCAGGTTAATGGCTTTGTTGAACATGTCAATGGCTTTCTCCATATTTCCTCTGAAAGAACAAAATTTCAAACGTTCTCGGATTCAGTAAGCAATTCACACGTTTCTGAGAGTTTGCAAACAGTGCGGTGTGAAGTCCGACCGCTAAGTTTCAGCCGTGACCCTAGTAAAACCCTCTGCTGTAATACACGCGTGCTGAGCAGCTGAGGGCCCTCAGCGAGCGGTAACTCTCTCACAAACGCTACGAGCTCACGCTGCACGCTGGGACTCTGCGTGACACTACAGAGATGAGGACACGGAGCAACTGGACACCTGGAAGACACCTCAAGTTCAGCACCGCCAAACCCAATTCTGTTTTATTTATTTTTGAGACCGGGTCTTGCATGTAGTTCAGGCTGGCCTTGCAGCGGTGCTCTTGCCCCAGCCTCTCAGCTGCTGGAATGACAGGCGTGTGCCTTCACGCCCGACCAGACCCGAGTTATAAAGAACACTCCGGGGGCTCGAGAGATGGTGCAACGTGCCCAGTCTCCCGGCCGGCTACTTCCTCAGAGCAGATCCACACCACAGGTACCCTGGCTGTCAACCTGTCACTCTTCTGCCTGAAAAGCACACTACAGAGGATTTTTTTTTCTTCCAACAGGAATAATTTAGGTGAAAAATGGAAAGAACATATAAATTACAGAAATACCAAGTTTCTCTTCCCATGTATCAGTTTAAACAACTTTTATAAGTCTAACTTTTAATTTGGAAGAATTATATAGTAACGCAAATCAGTTGCATAGCTTGAGGGAAGGAAGCTTGCATCCAAAGGCATAACAGACGGTAAAAACTTAATGGATACTGACAATGACATGTATGTAATAAGAGCAAAAGACATAGATGGAGCTGCCACAAATGTCCTAGGACAGACTGCAGAAGTTACCTTTGCACTTCAATAGTTCCCATGGTTTCATATGCAAAATCACATTTATTATCGATTTCAATAGCTTTGCTGATAAGCTCCAAACCTCTGTCCAAATCTTGCTTCCACTGAAGCTGAAGCAAACTGCAATGCAAACAGGTGATCAGATGTGAGCAAGGCCCAGTATCACCAGGAATGAAAATGTATGATTTCATTTTTTTGACTTTTTGAGACTCACTCTGCAGTTCAGGCTGGCCTTGAGCTCACTCTGTAGCCCAGGCTGGTCTTGAACTTGCAAGGATCCTCCTGCTTCAGCCTCCCGAGTGCTGGGATTACAGGCATGCACCACCGTGCCTGGTGTATGATTTTATTTTGTACCCTCAGTAAACGTGTAAGAAGTTTCTTATTATGAAAAGCATGTGAGCTGGGGATAGAACCTGCAGTAGCACGCAGGCTTGATTACCACTGAAACAAAGTAAAAAAAATGGTATATATGGTCTAGGCCAGCGAGAGCGAACCTTCTGAGACCAAGTGCTCACACGGCCGCCAGAAGCCCCCTTATTTACCACAAAGAGCCAGCACCGCCCCACACGTGCTGCCGTCTGGTGCTCAGCTGCAGGGTACTGCTGCGTGACGCGGCTCAAGCGCCGACAGAGAGGGCTCTGCGCACCTCCTGCGGCTCATGTGCCACAGGCTCGCCGGCACCGCCAGCGTCTCCTCACGCCGCACCCTGCACCCCTTACTGTTTACTTTCTACACGTGTAAGTGAGAATTCTTATATTCCAGTACACAAGGACAGGAAAAACACTATGCATATTTCCTATTTCGATACAAACATTTGACAGGATGTTCAGAACAGAAAACCCTTAATCTAGAGTGAAAATAGTACATACACTAATTTGTATGTAAGAATGAAATAATATCCACAAGCGTTAAGAAATTGGTCAATTAAGTTAGCGATATTTCCCTATCACAATCCCATGTCCTCAAAGATCAAAAGAAATTCATTTTATTACCATGAAGAGAATTTAGTACTTTTGTTTTTTTTTTGTCTTTTTGAGACAGGGTCTTACTATGCAGTTCAGGCTGGTCTTGAACTCACTTTGTAGCTCAGGTTGGCCTCAAACTTGCAGGATCCTCCTGCCTCAGCCTTCCGAGTGCTGGGATTACAGGTGTGTGCCATCACGCCCGGCGAGAATTTAGTATTATTGGAACAAACAGAACCACAAAAATACATACCCTTTATGAACATATGTTGTGGCGTTATCTGGCTCTAAATCAATACATTTATCATACATTTCATCAGCTTTACCAAATTGTTGTTGATCTGTTAATGCCTGTGAGGAGATATTTTAATTAAGGTAACTGTTAACCTAAACAATTAAAAGTATACTGCTTTTAATTATTAGAATTTATTTCATCTGTTACCAACTTATGAGATTTAAAATAATTGTTATTTAAACTGATTTTTATCGGCATCTATGAGGGCACTGTTGCAAACAAAATCTCTTTTCCGCAAGCAGTTACGTGGAATCAAACGGTCTAGTAACCTGCAGGATACAGAAAACCCCACCCAGTGACAGAAAAATCTCACCTCAGTGTCACATTCTCACAAGTACACTCATGTCACTCATAGTAATTTACGTATCTTAAGGGAATTACTTAAGGGGAACATTCATTTCGAGTAACTGTTACGTAACAGAATTATTCCTTGGGGCTGGGGATACAGCTCAGCAGCACAGTGCCTGCCTGGCAACGCAAGGTCCTAGGTTTGATTCCCGGTACCAAAGGAGAAAAAGAATCATGCCTTAGAAATGACTGATGAAGATAAAAGCAGCCACAACCCACCACTTTTAAGGCAAATTTCACGGCTGCGATAAAAAGGCCTGGGGCTGGGGATGCAGCTCAGCCACGCAGCACCTGTCTGGCAGGCGCAAGGCCTTGAGTTCAATTCCCGATACCAAAAAACCAAAGCAAACCAAACCAAAACACATAAATACATAAAACAAAATAAAATAGAAGGCCCGGTTCTGTGTACACCAGCGTCATGCTCAGGGTGTACCTGAGGGTCGTTAGCATCTAAAGCCCAAGTTTTGAGGGTTTAAAAAAGCTATATATAGTTACACAGTTAACTATACATATGCAGGCTACAGAAAAATAGTACTTAAACATATATGTACACACATATAAAGTTTCGTTATATGTGACTATGTAGAAAGCAGAATTAGAGATTTTAATGCAAACAGCTGTGCCGATGCAGGTGCTGATGCGGTAAGACGCTCACAAAAGCCCAACGCATTCCAAAGGTAGAGAGTGACAGGAAATGTGCACAATTAAGGAGCAGTGCGCAGAGGTTTCAGTGTTTATTTCTTTAAAAGCTATTCGGTGGCCTGTGCTGTCCGACCTCCTCATAGAAATCTGCACCAGAAAAACCTCCGTGAATTCCATGACGATGAACACTCGCAACACGAATTAATCTCAGTCTCCCTCAGAAAACCCTCAACACCCTCCTTAAAGGTTTCTTGTAACTTGCCTAAGGATAGCATGAAGCAAATTTAAAAAAAAACAAAACAACAATGGTTTAGGAAGTTGGGGGAAGGAAGTCCATGGGGAAGCTGTTTAATGTTTCTATTTTCTGTGATGTTTACGGGGGAAAAGCTCCATCTTTTTTGTAATAAAAATTGAGTAACAATATTGAGATGGCTGGGTTTACGTAGATTCTACACCAATTTCTAACTTAAAAATGAAGAAAACTATCAGAGAGCATTTATTTGAAGGAACAAAGTATAACCGTGGTTGTAAGAAGTTAATAATTTTCAATGAAATCAATGACTTCAAATTTAGAAGGACATTTTCAAGAATTTCAGGCCGCAATAAATGTTTAAGTAATTTAATTCTACTTTCCATAATTTCAATCCTACATGAGGAAAACTCCAAGAACTTTAGAGAAACCAAAGAAAATACCAAAGAAAAGGATGGTGATCCGACAGAACGAAACCTCTTCATGGATATATTCTCCCCCAGCGATACGAAGCACACATTTTCTAAGGTAACCACGTTTTCACAAGTCCAAACCAAGTGAACACAGGAGAGAAATGCCCGCTTCCCTTCACTGAGTTTAGGCCACGGCTCTAACTTACGTAACACAGGAGGGGCCCCTAACGTGTGATTCACGGCTGTCCTGGGGGGGCGAGGAGCAGCGCAGGAAGAAAGCCGCTTGTTCCCACAGTAGTTGGAACCAGGAGAGCGCTGCTTTCTCTTCCCATACTGAATTTCAGCGTACAATACAGTTTTTCAAACAATTTGAAGTCAGAGTTACCTGGGCATACAGTGCATAGCCTTCAGCGCATCTTGGAAATTTCTTTATGACCTCTTCAAAACCTTTCATTGCTGCTTGAATTTGTGAAGAATTGTTTCCCGTATATGCCTGGCGATACTTTTTAAAAAATTAAAACAGGCTTGTTAAATTAAGAATGCAAAAACTTCTGGAGTATTACCGTATTATAAAAGACATGCAAAATTACATAAATCTTACATGGTGCATCCGAAAGAATTCTAAGGAAGTATCTCAGGACCCAAAGGCTATGTGAACTAGAACCTCACAGTCACTACACAATTTCAAGGTACTCAATATTCCACAGGTGTGTCCAACCTACAAGGTGCGCGCAGCCTGGGATGGCTAGTAATGTGGCCCCGAAAGGTTGTAACTTCAACGTCATGTGATGTTTCTTGCAGTGTTTTTCATGACTTGACTGTGTTGCTCTCAAGGGTGGCATGAACTGGCAATCACTGAACGCAGTGCAGCTCTCACTGTCTCCTGCACCTGCCAGTTCGCTGAACGGACACCACAGTGTATCAGATGTAGACGGGCTTCTGCAATTCGGCCAGGAAAATGTGGCAACGTGCTGCTCTAAGAATTTCAACCTGCCTACAGTGTGAGTGCCTGCTTATCGTCATTAAGTAGACACGCAAGTGTTCTTATTTATTAACCTTGGGTTGTGCTACTCTGTAAAATATTCAGTTAAAGTGAGAGGGAGAAAAGGAGAACAGATAAAACAGTTAAGATCCGTTATGTACGCGTAGTGACTCCCCACAGTGAATGTAATCACTATGCACTGCAAGTATGTACTAAAAAGAGAAAAAACCATATATACACACAAGTTAAAATAGTTTTTTAATAGCTGTGGTGTAGAAAGTAGAAATAAGTATAGTTTTTTGCTCATGATATCATTACATATAACACTGCTAGAATTAGGAATGTCATAACAAAAAATATGAAAAAAGGAAGTTTTGTTACTTACACACATTAACTATCAATGTATTTTATATGTGGCCCAAGACAATTCCTCTTCACTCAATGGGGCCTAGGCAAGCCAAAATATTAGAAACCCATGCTGTAAGTATACCGTCCTGAGACGTTAACTTTGCATAGAAGTGAGGGAATTTCTACAATAAAAAACTTATCATTGTTTCCAACTATGTTTGTGTTCAAATTTCTTTAAAAGAGTATATATTTATTTTTTTGGCAGTATTGGGAATCAAACCCAGAAGTGCTCTATAACTGAACTATATCACCAACTCTTTTTAATTTTGAGGCAAGGTTTTGTAAAGCTTGCCTTGAACTTGTGATCCTCCTGCCTCAGCCTCCTAAGCAGAAAAGGAAAACAGGAAACTTTTTAGGATTCTGGGTATAGGGAAACTGGAAGTACTTAATTTTACTTTACTTTTTTTGCTTTGTGTTTTTTAATAAGAAATGATTCTGTAAATGAGAGATGAAAGAGCAGTTATATGGTGTCATGATTATAAACTATTTGACTTTCCGTTCAGGTTTACTGTGGAGATGCAGGGAGACTAGTTCTGTTTAGGAGTGTAAACACAGGGACAAACATTTATCAAGACAACTCAAATATTCAGAGAAATACAAAAGGGAGCATTAATTAATACACATGCTAACACGTTTTCCTCCCTGTGGTCATGTTTTCCGGGAGAAAAAGATGCGGTAGACCACAACACTCATCTTTGTTGACACTGGCAAATAAAAATGCTGGGTAGAAATTACAAAAGAAAGAAAAACCTACCAAGGCAAAGCACTTCTGAGCTTGTGCCAGGGCAGACTCGGGCCGCAGTCTAATACATTCATCAAAATCTGTCACTGCTTCTTCAACTTGATCAAGCAGTATTTTCAGCTAAGAAAACACAAACACAAACACACCGTAGTAAATGTAACTCAAAATACATTCGCCAGTTAGTACACTGTGTTTCTTCCGCTACAGCTAACCATCAGTATGTAGCAACACAGAAACAACTAGAAAGTCCTGTAATTTTAAAGGAAATATTCTGGAATGGGAAACTGGTGTCCATTTCTTTAAAAAAGGCAATGTCAACCTGTAAAACTTTTTTTCTGTAATTTTGATCACTGTTGTTATGTTTTCATTATTAAGGAAATTAAACATTTCTGTACTACATTTCAAAGTAGGTCAGACTAAAACCATTAGCTTTCAAATTAATCTTTTTTTGGGAGACACGGTCTAGTTACGCAGTTCAGGCTGGCCTTGGTCTTACTACACAGCCCATCCTGGCCTTGAACTGCAGTGATCGCCTGCTGAGATTACAGGAACGAGCTACCAGGCCTGGACCAGATTAATTTTAAAACACTACCAACCAAGATGAAAATGTCAAGAATTTTGAGAGGTTTTCTCAGCACTTCACCTCCTCTAGGAAGAAGCAAAAGTAGGTAAAATTCTCCTTTAGGAAGAACTTCAGCTTCACTGTTACACGGATAGCCCACACTTCCCCTATACTGCGTTCTCAGAAACCATGCCGAACAAATCATAGTCACACTTTTGCCATGTGATGGTATTATTAGGAAACTTTTATTACATATTTTTCTTACAAAAACACCTAATACGCCTATCACGAAAGTCTATTCAGAGGAGCTTTCCCCCTTTGGTACTACTTGAAGTCCAGGCTAGTATTTCCTCACAGCAGGAAGTCCCCCGGTAATGTGGCACGTGCCTCTAATCCTAGCACTCAGGAGGCTGAGGCCAAGATGGGCTACACAGCAAGACTCTGTCTCAAACAAAAAAAAACCAAAACCAAAAAATAAACAAAAAGCCCCAGTGCTGATTCTGGCATACACCCAAAACGCTGGCAAGCAACATTTCTTTTCTTCCTTTTCCCACAAATACCAAAATTATGAAGACAAATGTTCAAGGCAAAACTCATGCACACTGTAACTATAAACTATGGTACGTGAAATGATGTAAAGAAAACTTCAAGAAACTGTCAAAATGGCCATCAAATAGCTCAACCCACACGTCAGAGCTCTGGGGCTCACAGCTGCCTCACCTGGCCTCGGTGGTGATACACATCCGCGTTCTGAGGGTCGATGTCAGCAGCCATGTTGAAGTCCTGCGTGGACAGCAGAGGCTGCTGCTGCTGCATGTACATGCTGCCTCGCTTGATGAGCGCATTTGCTCGAAGCTACGGCCCCAAATGAAAAAGGATTCAGCGTTACTTTTATTCCGATTTAGTGTTTTGAATGAACTGGTATTATTACATGCTATAAAGCTCATCTTTTAAAAGGCACATAGCAGCTGCTTTTAGTATGCCCACTGAGCTGTGCACCGATCATCTCCAAGGCCAGAACGTTTTCATTACCCCCAAAAGAAACCCCATTCCCTTGACCGTGGAAACCACCCATCTGCCTTCCACTTCTATCGATCTGGACATTCTGGACATTCCACAGAGAATGCAGACTTCTTACCTGAAGTCTCATTATGCATTTTCTCAAAGTTCACCCACATTACGGCATATATTAGTACTGTACTCTTTATGGCTAGGTGATGTTCCATTTTGTAAATGTACTGTGTTTTATGCATTTATTAGCCGATGGACATTTGGGTTCCTCCTACCTTCCTGCCATCATGACTACTACTATGAACATTAATGTGCAAAGTTTTGTGTTAACACACGTATCCCACACGCTTGGGTACATGCCTAGCAATGGAACTGCTGGATTGTAAGGTAAATGTATGTTTAATGTTTTGAGGAACTGTCTATCTAATTTCCAGGGAAGTGTTAACATGTTACACTCTCACCAGTAATGTGTGTGCGCGCGGGGTGGTCCCTCTTTTTCCATGTCCTTGCCGACATCTGTCACTGTCCATCTTGTTAAAGCTGCATCTCACTATGGTTTCATTTACAATTTCCTAGTGGCTAATGACGTTTAGCATCCTTTCATGTTATTGTTAGTCATTTATATATATTCTTCAGAGACAGAGTCAGATCTTTTGCTCATTTTAAAATTTAGTGGTCTTTTTACTGTTGAATTCTAAGAGTGGTTTATGCTGTATTCCAAGCTCCTTATCAAACAGATGACTTATGAGTATTTTGTCCCGTCTTGTGGAAGGTGCTTTTCTCAGTGGTGTCCTTGCAAGCATGAACACTCTAAATTCTGACCAAGTCCAACATACGTTCTTTTGGGAGGGGCACTTATGCTTTTGGTATCTTAGAATGGCTTGCCTAACACAAGGTAATAAATATTTACCCCTCTGTTCTGTTCTATAGATTTTATACATTTTTAGCTCTTGCATTTAGGTCTTTGACACATTTTGGGTTAACTTTTATACATGTCACAGACATCATTACTAGGTGTGGTGGCACATGCCTGTAACCCTAGCACTGTGGGAAACAGGAGGACTGAAAGTTTGAGCCAAGCCCAGGCAACTTCACAAAACCTTGTCTCAAAAAGCAAAACCTTTAAAAAGTGGGGCTGGGGATACAGCAGAACGCAAAGGTCTTAGGTTCAATCTGGGGAGAGGGTGGCACAGCCATGATCAAAAAAACATTTCTTCTTTCAAATTTTGTTCAAAGCAGTATCACACACACGTACTCCCCCAAAACCACACACACTACTTCAGGAAGAGAAAGACAGTATGACGTTTCTTACAACAGACAGTGTTACTCTCATACGCAGAGCCCAGAGGGTGGCACACACCGCAGCCAAAACCCGCGACACCGCTGGCCTCTAGAGAAGACACTGAAAATGCATGTGCAGTCCCAACGAGCAAGGTTCCCCAGGAAGCAGATGCTGCACTAACAAATGCCTGGGGGCTGGCGGCCACCACGCTGGCACCTCTTGTAACTGCAGAGGCTGAAGGGAACTTGCACTAACCCCATGACGTCTCCACACATTCAGTATTGAAACAGTTACAAAGGTTTTTATTTTCCCGACGTGCGCACACATTTTTGGGCAGACTGTGCGTGTGTGTGTATAAAATCAACACTGATTATACATGTCAATACCTATAAAGATAAATCAAATAATTCAACAGATCCCTTTAAATCTTAATTATGAAAAGCATTACATACACATTAAAGACACTTGAAAAATGAAAAGCTGTTTTAACCACACAACTGCAGAAACTTTTGTGTATTTATGTACCATATTTTCAGAGCCTGTTCCTTTCTTCATGTAATAAAATCTTTCCAAATATATTGCTAATGTGATTACTCTTTGTAAGTACATTTTAAAACCTGGAACTACTTTCTGCATTCTACTTGCAGCATTATCACCCTCAGCACAACCCAAACAGCCCACTACAGTAGAGGCTGCGGCTACCAGGAAAGTGGAAACTTTCGGATGCTGCAGAAAAGAAGTTTTCTTTTTTGGCTGAAGATAAATATTAACATTTCTGTTTCAGATTCACAGCACCAATGTATTCATTCCTCGTTAGGTTTCTTCCAAAACAGAAGCAGCCTTTTTGGAGGATGGCAAGTACAATGCTAAAGCTTCTGGCAAAAGCTCTACGAAGGCACGTCTACTTATGCTGCCCCCAGGCACAGCCGTTTCCCCACGCACCTTCACAGGCACGTCTACTTATGCTGCCCCCAGGCACAGCCGTTTCCCCACGCACCTTCACGTCAGCCTCCTTCACACTGATGACCCTGTCCAAATCAGGCTTGGCGGCAGTGGCGTTGCCGATGAGTAAGTAGAAGGTGGCTCGGAGCAGTAACGCCTCCGCCAGGTACTTTCCTTGAGCATCGATTTCTTTTGAGCATTCGCTTATGATTTTATCATAGTTTTCTTCTTCCATGTACTGTTTTGCTTTTAAATATCCAGAACTGAAAATGAAAACAGGAAATTATTTACTAACAAAAAAATCAAATGCTAAAACTTACCCCATTTAGCAGGCCCAAGTTAAGCAACTGTCCGTTTCCCTTAACAAGGTAATCTGCCAGTATGGAAGTAGCTGGGAGAAAGAGGTTAAAAAACAGTTAGGGTTTCTGAAGCAGAATGGGATTTTCTTGATGCCACAGAGAGAGAGTTTTGAAAGAAAACAATCCACGGCAGAAAGCTGGGTTAACACCCTGGCTTAGACAAACACGTGAAAAGGTAAGCGAGTGAAAGCGACAGACTACCTTACAGGGCCCGGTCTTCCTCCTGTCCTGTGGGGCACACTGACAGCACTCAGTGACTGCTCAGTGCTGACAGAGGGACAGAGGGAAGGAAACAGTCGTGCACGTGTAGCGCAATACAAGCCAGAGCAAGAGGTGCGACCCGAGCTGTGCTCTGGATTCTCTCACAGAAAGTGGACTAAACGTGAGTGCGGCTGGAGACGGAAATACAGAAGGGCTCTCGTGCAGGTTTACTGTTTCGCCTCAATAAACAGACCTAGAACTCCTAAATACACTAATCAAAAAAGTAAATTTAAAGCAAAACTCTTGTATTAAATAGATCTTTAAAAAACCTACCTCTCTACTTTTAAAAACACCATGAGCACAATATTAATTTTTTTAAGATAACGAGCGTCACTGGAGATGCTCATAGAAGGGACTTTTAACTGAAAACACAAACGAAAACAAAAAGAACTTGTACTAGGTGGCCTTTGAGCCATCTTCTAATACAGACAGTTCCTAACTACACTGGCTGGACTTCAGCAAGGTACGGAAGTGGTACACTTCGGCAGAAACTGCGCTTGGAATTCCGATCTTCCCCCGGGCTGCCGATACATGGTGTGACGCTCTTGGGTAGTGCTGGGCGGTGGCAGCACGACACAGCTCCCAGTCAGCCACCGGAGCAGGGGGCAGCAACAGTCCACAGTGTTAAATTTAGAGGCTCAAGCGGTAAACACTTCGATACGTGGCTCAGAATAAACGCACTTTTAACCTACACATTCTCACCGATGTATCAGGATGTAATTCAAGGCGTGTCTGTGTAAGACACTAAGTTAACAGTACCGTTTCTCATGTTGGTTGTTATGTCCTGTGCAGAGAAACTGGCAAGTAAGGGGCTTAAAAGAAAAGTTCTGTCGATCAAAATCTTGTAACTCTGCACTAAGCATTCCTGTAATTACGTTGTAATATTCCTTATTTTGTTCTTCAAGTCACAGGCTAAGAAAATACAAACAGTTATCAAATCAGATTGGAAGTAAGAAGCCCCTACTTACTGAGAACACAAATGGTAGGTATTGAAAACATTTCTACATCTCAAATACAAGAAGTCCAAAGGATGGCATTTTGGTAGGGAAGCAGTACCTTGAAAAAATTTAAACTTTAAGTACTCCTAAGTGTTTTGTAATTGTTAAAATCTTCCCTGCAGTAAAACATTTAAATGTTAAGCTATGCAATTAATTTTCCAGTTACTGCCTTTATTCAAATAGTCACGCAATTGACTTAACAGGCATCCTCTTGAGAATAATCACAGTGCAAGACTGCAAAAGCAGGGTAGATTTTTGAATACCAAAGGAGTAACGACACATGCTAGGAGTACTTTTATTACATAACTGTAAGAATTAGAGTATTATTATTATTATTATTATTTTTTTTTTGAGAAAGAGTCTCACTATGTATTGCAGGCTGGCCCTGAACTCGCTTATGTAGCCCAGGCTGGTTTTGAACTCACAGTGATCCTCCTGCCTCAGCCTCTCAGGTGCTGGGATTACAGGTGTGCACCACTACATTAGGCAACAATTAAGAATATTATTATATAATTTATTTGATTTATAGCTCCCTGGAGATAAGGCTTTTTCTTTGTGACTCTGAACCCACTGTGGTTCTAGGGGACTTTCACGGCAGCAGCAAAAACAAAAGTAAAACAAACAAATATCAACAACAAAACAAAAAACACTCAGGGGACATTATGCCTGGAATACTTACCTTTCCTTTACTTCCAGAGCTTCTCCTTCCTTGTCTTTATCTTCATCAGGTTTCTCTCCTTTAAGCATGGGCTGAGAAATGATATCATCAGTGAAAGAACTGAAGTAAGATTTGATAAACTGTGGTGATGGCATCAAAGGTTCACGATTCTGAAATTTAATATTTACATTTATCAAAATGAAAGAACAATCTCAGAACCATGTATGTTAAAGAACATTAAGAGACACTGCTGTAAAAACTGGATCCTCATTTTCACATAACTGAAGAGTGTTTGAGCTCTAACCCACAGGACAACAGAGAGAGGCAATGCCAGTTGCAGCTGTTTGAAACGGCTCTTATACAGACGCTAAGGCGTGCTACACCCACTGCCGCACACTTGCACCGGAAGATCTGCACTGCAGGGAAGGCCACTGACGTCACACCTTCACCGTATTTCCTGTTGTAACTTCCTCTTTTGGCATGGCTACCTCACTCAGAATTACAGTTTTTTTTCTCTTTGTAACAAAGCGGGAATAATATAATCACATTTTAGATCCTTAATCTAGAAAAGTCAATACGTATGGTAAAAATTTTAAAGTAAAAACTCAGGACCTTTGCACTGAGCTACATCACCCTCCTATTATAATTTAATGTAGGATAGATGTAGAGTAGAACAGAAAACTTAAAAAGACAAAACTGCTATATTTGAACCCATCCTCCAAAATTCGTATGCTGGAAATTAAATCTGCAACGCCAAAATACTGGGAGGTGGGGCTTAACGAGACATGATTTGCTCATGAAGGCTCTGTTTCCACGAATGGATTAGTATCATTACCCAGGCGTGGGTATCAAACCAAGATAGGGCATTCATTATGAAAACCAACTCTCTTGCCTTTCTGCCATGGGATCGTATGGCATGAAGGCCTTCCCCAGGTGTTACTACCTTGATATTGGACTTTCCAGCCTCCAGAACTGTAAGAAACAAATTTCTTCTTTATGTCGTTTTAGGGGAAAAGCTTAAACAGAAATTTAATAGCATTTACTTGAAACTGGGTAAATCATGAAAGTCTTTTAGTTTCCTATTTCAGCTTATAAATAAAGCTACCATCTCCCTATCTTTGACACAGTGTTATAAATTTATAGTTTAAAATGATGTTTTAAGTAATAGACTTATGTAAGAAACAAAAAGATCGCATTCTAGCTCTGCCACTTATTCAATATGATAAAAATATGACTTTAAATTTTTAAAAACTACTATGATAAAAGACATACTGCCATTCACACCCTCAAAGTACTTCTCTTCACTTGGAGCACACTCATCTGACTGTCCCTGCCACTCTCTGCACAGTTCTGGAAGTCCTCTTTCGTGAGTGTCTATCTGTGCTCTTGTGGCTGCTCAATACCTGAACTAACTGGAAACATTTACCTTGCATAGTCATTCGGACTCGGGGGAAAAAGCCATGAGTCATGGTGCCAAATCTGTTGGATAAGGCGGATGAAGACATGCTGTACATTTTTATTTGACAGAAACTGCCATAAACATTTGATCAATGGGTTAAGTGGTCATAAAATATGATGAATGTTTAAATTTAAACATTTATTATAGTAAAAGGCACATTGCCATTGATTCCCCTCACAATACTCAAAATACTCATTCTCACTTCAAACACACTGATCTCATCATTCTTGGTAATTTCTACTGTAAGTTTAAAAGAATTTTTTTAAACATTCACTGTATCGTTTGATCATCCCTTGTATGTGACATGCCATTAAACTTCTAATCTCAGTTTTCTCATCCTTAAAGAACTGGGTGAAATAACTGATTTATCATACTAGTTCTTTTAAGGCTCAATTTATGAGACTAACATGATATTTCATAAAGTGTTTTTGGAGGAACATTACTTTTACAAGATGCTCAAGTAGAAAGAAGTTCTATAGTCCAAAGAGACTCTGAGCTACAACTGTTATACTCCTCTTAGACAATGGTGGCAGACCTATGGCACGTGTGTTACTGCATTTTTCATTTAAGACAAAATACGTTAACGTATGAGTTGCTTTTCTAAACTAAAACTTTCATATTTGGATTTAGCTGCAGTGTTGGTACTCTGCAATAAACAAGTGGATTTTGGGTTGCAGTTTGGGCCCTTGGTCTTTAAAAGGTTAACCATCACTGCTCTTGGAGATTTACAACCCAACCAGCACATTAAAGTCCCACAGTGAAGAAGCCTGCTTTAACTATTTAACTCTGTTAATACTCACAGATGGGGACTTAAATATATATAATTATTAAAATCCATGTAAGAGAAAAGCAAGTCATTAGGAAAAAAAAAAAAAACCTGCCTTAGAATTACTCAAATTTAGCTGTGAATCTCAGGCATGAAGACAGTGGCATTCTCTCAGCACCGTATTACATCTCCCACTGGACACGAGCCATGGTTAGGTCTTTTACATAGAGTAACAGCCTCTCTCACTAAATTTTAATTCTACACAAAAGGGAGCACATTTTTGTGCCCACTCCTCTCTGCATGGAACTTTGTTTAGCAACGGTTTGTTGAATTAAACTATCTACTTTAATACCTTAAAACAAATGTCCATTTACACAATATAAGTTTAAAACTAGTGATACTGAACAGAGGTTGGCAAATATTTTCCTGTAAAAGGCCAGGTAATAAATAACTTAGGCTTTTCTGGGGATACAGTCTCTATATGCTCCAACAATCACATAGCTCTATTGTAGGTGAAACGCAGCCAAAAACAATATATTTGTGGCTGAAAATTATTTACAAAAACAGACGGCAGACTGGATATGGCCTGTCAGTCACAGTGAGGCAATCCTTAACATGGATGAATTCCAATCTCCCCCAAGGACAGTAACGGACACAGCCTACCTACTCACTGAAATAGAATATGCCACAAAAGCGCAGGATGATAGCAGAAAGAAATGCAACTCCATCCTAATCTCAGCTGCTACCATAACTATGATAAAGTTCAAGTAGTATACTCTATTTCACAGTTCAATTAATTTACCTTGTATTTTTCTTTGGCTTTCTCTTTTCCAAGAAGTTTAAGAACTTTATCAGCTAATAGCATGCTCTGTTGATTTTGGAATCCTTCTAAGATACACACAGCAGTGACATCTAGAAATGGAAAAATAAGCATGAAATTATTGCAGAGACAATCAGCAAATAGGTACAAGGTAAGACAGTCACGAAATTCATAGCCTGATGAGGCTATTTCATTTTGAATAAAATTGGTTATCAATATTCAAGTCTCTCCCCTTCTATGAGATCAACTTCCTTCACCTATGAAATGAAAAGGCCTGTGCTGTATAATTTCTGACACTGCTCACTGGTCTAACGTTTTATAGATAGCAAATAAAACAAGGAATACAGGAGTACTCTTCTGACCATTTTCATTTGGTTATGCCACAGCTCAAGATACAGTGATCTGAAATTTAAAAGCAAGCCTTAACTTTTCAACCTTTCTTTTACTCAGCATCCAATCACTGTTCCTTCTCTCTTCGAACCCAACTTCTCCCATCCTGCACCTCCGAACAAGTCAATCCAGTGCCAGTGCCAATGTCTTCTTCTCAACCGTTTCCATCTAAAATCCCAATCACCTTCCTTCCACTTTGCCCATTACCGCCTGTTAGTAACGTCAAGGTCTAGCCCAAACTTAGGATTGTCTTTTCGAAAGCAATACTCCTTTCACCAACTACCAAATTATGTGACAGCACAAAACTTCAAATTTTGCTAAAATGTTCTCTAAAGCATCATTATCATTTGATAATCCAGGATTTTTTCAAAGTGGGTTTAAAATTAAAAAAAAAAAAAATGGGGGGTAGTGCTGGAGATTGAAGCCGGGGCCACAATGGAGCTTTTTCCTTTTAACAAGCGGTATTTTGTGCTGTGGGAGTAGCTCAATGATAGACATGTGCTGACATTCACAAGTCCCTGGGTTTGACCTCCAGGACCAGAAAAACACTTACTTAAAAACGCAGTGGGAAGCACTTTCAGCTTGTGGAAATAACATACTGATTTTGGCTTCACATCATCGAGAAAAGTGTACTTTAAAAGCCAGTGGGCTACACTCTAACTGCAGTTTTGGAGACAGACACAGTCAATCAGAGGATGCCGAACATTTACAGCACCTACTGAGAATGACAAACTCACTCTGATGTTTTATACCAACTGCATAATTTGCAATCAGCTATAAAGATGAAGTTTGAAATACTAAGGGCAAAAAAGTAACTTTTTAAAAACAATTCATCTTGCCGGGCGTGGTGGCTCACGCCTCTAGTCCCAGCACTCAGGAGGCTGAGGCAGGAGGATGGTTGCGAGTTCAAGACCAGCCTGGGCTACAAAGTGAGCTCAAGGCCAGCCTGAGCTGCATATTGAGACCCTGTCTCAAAAAGACAAAAAGACAAAATAAACAGACAAAAAAACCCAATTCATCTTAAAGTTATTTCATTTCTTAAAATATATGTCAGCTGTAAATATACACTATCACTTGCTAAAGCCTTCTTCTCATTCCCTTACTCATAGAATTACACTAATGCTATTTGTTATGTTTACAATGTAATATATAAATTCCAAATCTTTAACATCAACAATTGCACCTGAAACTAGAAAACAAAGCCTCAGTTGGGAAAAAGTTCAACTTATAAAGACAAATGATTTCTGTACTCATGGGCAGAATTTCAAATAAGTTTATAATGAACATAAAGCCTTTATGAATTTTCATCTACAAACACAAAAATACCCTCACCTTCTAAACATTCCTTCTTATTGTCTAGCTTCTCGTGGGCTTTTGCGCGCCTAAAGAGAGCTTTCACATATTTGGGATTAAGTTCAACAGCCTTTGTACAATCTTGGGCCACGTCTTTCCATTTTTGCTGTAATTGAAAAGTATTTTAAGAGTCACACTAATAAAAGTACTGTTCAACAGAAAGTAGTTTTCCAAACTTACCAGGCCAAGTATTAAGAGTTCCACAACAGAAAAAGTATTCCAAACACAAAGAGTTAATATTTATAGTACATGTACACAAAACCTCACGTAAGTATCTTTAAGGAAGACAAGTAACCAGGTTTTTACGAGCAGGCAATGCAGGGCCGGGGATATAGCTTGGAGGCACAAGCACCTGCCTGGCAAGCGCAAGGTCCTGAGTTCGATTCCCGGTACAAAAGGCGGGGGGCGGGGGTGAACATACTTTGGCCGTTTTTCTACCTCCAAACCTAGAGTTTTGTGCTCCTACTATTTCTTTCCTTGCTCCTGTTAAAACTGAGGACGCCTCTATCTTCATCAAAGCTCAACTTTCCACTAACGATTTAATTCCACGACATCTCTGTGGACTTCACTCTTTCAGCTACCCCTTCTCTGCAGTAATCTGCTTCTCTTCTGAGCCATTCCCACGAATATAAAAACGCTTGCTCTCGTGTAGTCCATGCTTTTTTTGTGTGTGTTGCTGGGGACTGAACCCACGGCCTTGTGCATGCAAGGCAAGAGTTCTACCCCTGAGGCACATCTGTAGCCCTATCCATGTTCCAAAACCTCTCCTTTAACTCTGTAACTCCCTAGTACTACCACACCTGTCAGCACCTCTTTATTACTGATCTTCCAGCTTTGCACCTTTACCTCATTTCCATGTCCTTACTGACTGTCCTTCTCAATTTCCCTTGCTGAATTCTCTTCCTTTACTTGATCTCTACAAGATGAAATCCTCAAGATCTCATCTCTTGTTTCTCCCTCGGTAATGACATACACTGACTTTTATATACCAACTGAAATTACAGATGATTCTGAAATTATCTGAAGCATAAAACCATTCTCCTAAGGTAGACATTCCTCAATGTAACTGTCCACTTCATCTCTCCTTCTGGTAGTAAAATCTTTCATCTCTTTAGCGTTCACATCCAGCGCAGCAAGAGTGCAGCTGGTTTTCAGTGTTTCTCTGTGTCTTACCTCAGTTACTCCTACATCCTCATTTGTTCTCCCTGTCTCCACGCTTGCCTCTTCCCAATATACTCCACAGAAAAATACGATAATCTTGGATGACGTTCTTGCCCTGCATAAAACTCTTCAGTATTTCTATTACATTCAGAATCAAATCCAAACTCTATTACTGCCTAAAAGGATTTTCTTGAACTGGTCCCTATCTACTTTTCCAATTTCATCTTTCCTCCATTCCTATTTGAACATGCTAGATTCTTTCCTCTGTCACACGAGTGACACATACTGTTTCTTCTATAATACTCTCTTCTCTGCTGTTCTGTCCACCACTCCACTATATAAGCATAGAAGGGCTCTACACAGTCTTTAAAAAGTGCAACAGGTTGACGTATGTTGATATGAAAAATTCTACAAAAGACAGTGGCAACTGAAAAAATGTATCACCAACAATATTTAGAAGGAAATCATCTCTCTCCCCTGCTACCCCATATGTAACTATTAAAGCTACGGGAAAAAAAGTTGGAGAGCAGCCTCAAGAGCTACTAGAAAACTTTAATTTTCTATACTATCTTATTTTATAAAAGTTGAAATACTTATAAATGGGGTATATTTGTAACCACTAAAACTAATGTTTGTTCTTAAATTTTTTAAGGAAATAAAAACAAAAATCTTATTAATTTCAAAATGTCAAAAAACACATTAAATTTAAATAGCATTAACTGAAACTTTAAGCAAATAGAGAAACAAAAGAAAGGGGCAAACAACCCAGCGTACATACCAACTGTTCAAAGGCAGCAGCTCTATTCTGATAAAATGTGGAAAGGTCAACGTTCTTCTCTGTCGGGCACAAACCGATAGCTTCTGTATAGCACTGAATGGCCTGTTCATACTTTCCTGCTTTAAAATACTTATTGCCTTTGTTCTTGGCTGCCTGGGCTCTATCAAGAGAGTTCTGAAACAATAAAAACAATTACCAACCACTAACCAACATTTGACAGCAGACATAAGACTACCCTAATTAAATGCTAAATTGATAAACTAATTTTTGCCAGTCCAATGCATATAAAACAACGGTTCTCAGCCAAAAATGATTTTACCCATTTCAGAAATATCCAGTCCCAGTATGTTAGAGCTAACTGCCCAAAGCAGAAGATGCTGTGAGACTGAAGAAAGAAGTAAGCAGATCCAGGATTCTACAAAATACAATGTATTAGGGACAGAAGAGGGTCTTGGGTGAGCAGCAAGACAAGGGAATCCCTACACGCCAGGGGAAGAGGCTAGACACAGGTTGGCTGTAGGCAACTGGAATGCACCTATCCTTTTCCAAACCTTTACGCTGGCCTTTTCTTCAGGTTATGAGACCGATGCGCTGCCTACCGTGCTAAGGAGGCAGGTTCCTATCCTTTTCTTCGTGTTTAGCTGTTTTTCTTTTTGGGGCATTGGGTTGAACCCAGGTGCGCATACATGTTTTATAAGTGCTCTGCCACTGGGCTACATTCCCAGCCCATTTAAAAAATGTAATCACCAGTATATATTAATTGTGCAAAATAACGGGGTTTCACTGTGACTTTTTTACATGCATATAATGTACTTCAATTGTACTTGTCCACTCTCTCACCTTCCCGACAGTCCCCTGTCTACTTCCATGTCTTTTTTCACTCCCTAGCATCCACATGAGCATTAACTACGAGTATGTTAAGAAAAAGTCTGTTTAGTAATAGCTGTTACGATACACTTGGCTGACCATCTAACCACTCTACTTTTGAAAGGTTTGTGGTCATGTGGCAGGAAAAATGGTGGTTGTGACCAACATGGCTATGGTTATACCAAGCCATCAGAATGCGTCTCCTCCTTTTTTGGTGGCAGAACCCAGGGCCTCACACATGCTAAGTAGTGTTCCACTAAGCTGCATCCCTATCCCTGAGAAGTTCCGATTGTCACAAAATGGGAGATGTTATGAGCAGCAAGAAGAGACCAGGGATGCTAGTAACTTCGTACAACGCACAGGCCAGCCCACCACAACGAAGAATTATCAGATAAAAATGTTAATACTGCCAAGGTATAAATATCTCCAGTATAAATACCTCAGTATTATTGTCCCTGGCATTTTCCTCACTATTCATGAATTTGAAAATCTTTCCATGTTTATTGGCAAGTTGGTTTTTTTATTCTAAAAATCACTAATTCATATTTTGCATTTTTTCTGGGCTATTTGTCAATACAGACAGTAAAACAGACAGTATAAATACTATAGCATCTTCATTATGATTGTTATTCCAAATGTATCATTTGCCCATCAACAGATTTCTTGTATATACTCCTATCTGTCTTAGAGAATGCTTTCTGGAAGGCCCAACACACACACACACACACACACACACACACACACACACAAACACACCCCCCATGTGGACAGTGTTTAGAAGGTGGTATTTAATATCTACAGAGGACAGCAGTGAAAATGCTTGGGAAGAGTCTCTGTAGATAATGCTGGTTATCCACATTCCAGCCACTAGCTCCCTGAGCTTTGTGGTATCAAACAAACTTTGGCTACTGCCTGCAAATACCACCCAACTTTAACAAATCTAATGCTAAACAAGACTGCATATATCTCCTACAGGTAAATACTGACAAAATAAAAGCAGAAGCAGCTACCACTATAGACAATTTAAGTAATCTGTGAAAGACAAGTTGTTTGAGGCTCAAGGTATCTCTTACTTACAAAAAGGTGAGACGGCAAGTAAGACACCTTCTGGTACCTACTCTTTTCTCCCCTTAATTCAGTTTTCTTTCTTGTTTTCCCCTTCCACGTACATTTTGTTTTTCTTTTATTTTTTTTCTTTGTGTGTATGTGTGGCGGGGGGGACCGGAATTGAACTCAGGACCTTGTACTTGCCAGGCAGGCACTGTGCTGCTAAGCTATATCCCCGGCCCTTTTCTCTTTTATAGTATCACTATAGCTACAGTTCTTTCCAAAAAGTATAGTGTAAAGAAGGGTTTGCAGGAAACAAAGCATCTAAATTCGGAGTATTATACAGACAGTTCACACTCATGTCAACAAGAAAGAGATGTATTTTAAAACTAAGATGAGGGAAGATAAAAGGAACCAAATAAGCACAAATGAAAAGATGAACACAAAATCTTCCATGTGTTAAAAGACTTAATCAGCTGTTGAAAATGTTGAAATATAAATTAAATAGCAAATTTGAAACATGTTTCAAGGACATGTTTTAGGACTACGAAAATATGCCAGAACTGAACACCCATAAGACAGTACAGCTGAGAATCCTTAGGGGGCAACCATCAAGACGACTGCTGAAAACTCCCATCTGAGACAATCTCAACAATCCTCTAACTTCACTAGAAAGCAGAACTCAGACTGGGTAGGGCTGTTATACAGAAGGATTGAGGATCCCCTTTACCCAAGAGAAAAGTGACAAGCATAACTTGAGAAAACACAATCAAAACTTGCTAATACTATAGGAAAGTCGATGCATGAAAGACAGAGACCCAAGTCAATTACAAAACTAGCACCTAGGAAAGCAGAATAAGACAATTAACAACAACAATAAAAATGGGGAGCGGTGCAGCTGCTGGAGATTGCACTCAGGGCCTTGCTATATGCTCAGCTACAATTAGAAATCTTTTTTAAAAATTTTATTTTAAAGAGAGAAAAACAGCCGGGCATGGTGGCACACACCTGTAATCCCAGCACTCGGGAGGCTGAGGCAGGAGGATCATTGCGAGTTCAAGACCAGCCTGGGCTACAAAGTGAGCTCAAGGCCAGCCTAAACTGCATAGTGATGCCCTGTCTCAAAAAAAAAAGAAAAATAAAAACAATGATACAGAATGTCAAAATAAGACAGTAGGATATTAACAATGGTTAATATATTGCATATTGTTATCTTCAAAGTAGTTGCTCAGATTATAAAATGTAGGTATGCAAATTGATCAAACAATATAAGCACAAACTGTTCTTTTCAAATGAACTAATAGAAATTAGTAGTATAATTATCTTAGCTAGCGTGTGTGTGTGTCTGTGTATACATATATTTTTTCCTTTCGTTTCCTACAATTAGAAATCTTGAAAATGCAAAAGAACTATTACAATTAGCCCAATAGATGGGCTATATATTACAGCAAGCACAGCTAAGATACAAAATAACAAACAGAAGGTGGAGGCAAGGAAGCTGGCCAAAGGCAATAAAAGTAGGACAGGGAGGTGAGAAGTCTGGAGAAAAAGTTAAATGATATGAAGTAGATATCTAAGTTCTAATACCTATCTGACGCTCTAGGCATAGAAAGGAAGATCTACACAAATACTCAGAAAAATTCCTGAAGAAAAAAAAGTTACATATTTTTAGACACATTGCAGTGAAATTTCACAACAAAAATCCCAAAAGTATTTACACAGAAAAAAGAAAAAAACAGATTACCTACAAAGGAAAAAGAACCAATCTAGTCCCAGACTATCACCACTATATACTAAAAAACAGTCCCAGACTATCAACACTATATACTAAAAAACAGTGAAGTAACAATTTCAAAGTTCTAAAGATGAGCTTGAACCAAAAATACCCCACCAAACTAGCATCTGAGTTGGACACAAGATTAGTGGTGTGCAACTTTCTTACCATTAAAAGTAAATCCTAGAGTGGAGGAATATAACAAAATGTAGAAAGGGATACAAGGCTTCCTCCTCCTTAGAAAGACAGACACTTTCATATTTTGTTTAGTAAAGTCTAAATCTTAAACTATCCAACTGAATCTTTCAGTTAGCTATTTACCTACAATTAGTTTTGGGGGGTCTTTCTGAGACAGGGTTTTCCCCGTGCAGTGCAGTGCAGGCTGGCCTTGAACTCACTTTATAGCCCTGCAGCAATCCTCCCCGGCTTCAAGCTCCCCAGTGCTGGGATTACAGGTGTGCCACGCCCAGCTCCAATGAGTTTTTACAACTACTTCCTTTTTAAAATTACAAATTCTTTGATTCCAAAGGTCAAAATCAGAGCCTGCTTAATTTCTTTATTGTACTGTTGAGAAATGGTGTTCTGAAGGACACTGCGTTGGAACAGAACCAAATCCCAAATCACATTAGCCAATCACTATACTGCGAATTTTACTCTACTCTTCCTCCAGCAAGTTTACCAAATGACATTTGCAGACAGCACGCACTCACATAACATCCCGTCATCTGCTTGCCTCACCCTCACTACTTTCTGCTCAACTGCTTCCCTAGAACTAAGGACACAGAGATCTCAAACAACCACCTTGAAAGGCTAGGAGTACTTTTTCATGGGATCTTTCTATCCAAAAGCCACAAAGGAGATTTTAAAGACTATAATCCCATTTAATGTGCCTGCAAAGAACCTGATTTTGGTAGTCTTTTCAAGGTTCCATATTTTAAAGTTCTGTGCATTTTTTTTTTTTTTTTTTTACACAAAAACTCATTTTTGTTGATGTGACTACTATATGGTTGGCCCTCTACATCCATGGATTAAACCAACTGTGGACTGAAAATACTCAGGAAAAAGTGAAATTGCTGGTGACGGGTACTATGTATTTAGACATGAGAACGATGACTGCTGGTTTAGTTGGTACTAAACATGCCCAGATTTATTCTTCCTAGTCATTATTCCCTAAATAATACCGTATAACTGCTATTTACATCATATTAGATAGTATAGTAATCAAGAGATGACTTCAGGTATGTGATTGGACTTCTGTAGGTTACACGCAAACACTACAATAAGGTGCTTTAGTATCACCATAGTTTGTATCCTTGGAGAGTCCTGGAGCCAACCATGTGAAAATGTGGAGGCACGACTATACAACCAAAAGGGCGGCCTTTATCCTGAGGGAACACGCTAGACACTGCACAGAAAGTCACGTGGACTAGACTGGCAGCCTCCCCAATGAACTATCACTGATCAAAACGCTGAAATCCCAACCACT